ACCTCTCCCCCTCACAGCAGCAGCCACACTGCAGAGCAGGAGCACAGAGAGGACTCCCAGCACTGCCCACAGGACTGGACACTGACAGCAGGGCTGGACCACAGCTGCACTGCCTTAGGACAGACATGGACAGGATCTGTGCTGACCAGTACAGTGGACAGTAAGAATGGGAGGCACTGAAGAGACATTGGATGATTTTAGACAAACAGAATGAGGGATAGAAAGATAATCTACCAGTCATCTGAGACAAATAACAGAGGTTTTAACCATCAAGATAGTGAGAATGAATATTTTCACAATAATTTAATTTAAAAAATATTTTTGGTACTAGATTTAAAGATTTTAACATTTTTCTTTCAAAAATCAAAGATAGAGTAGGCTGTATAGCAAAGACCAGTGGGTTTAAAATGCCCAATTTAACTTACAAAAATAATAGTTTATTTATAACACAAAAAAACACATTGAATCCTACGTTCTGTCAAACACAACCATTAGTGTCTTCTCTCTCAGATGGTCAGGAAACTGATTTACTGAGAGCTAGAGATTTTGAACATAAAATCAAAAATTTAGACTGTTAATTAGGCACAAGAAAAAAATCGGAGCAGCGGGGAAGGTGGGAAGGTGAAAGAATAAGAAATCTAGATAATCTTTTTAGAAATTACATTCTATTCACAACCATATAATAGTTACTTTAAATCAATTTATTTTATGTCTTTAATGAGAGACTTTATATTTTTATATCTTTTTAATCTGTGTAGCATTTTGTTCACTTCTGACTTTTACTTAAATTTCAGTAAATTTAATGTTTCCTGGGCCTTAATTTAAGAAAGATTAATTGAATTAAGATTACTTAAGTGGGCATAGTGATATCACCACGTATCAGTATTCTGAGGCTGTTTCAAAGGTCAGAGAGAAACCCTTCATTTTAAGATACACTGTTCAACAACAGGCAACAAGATCACTGCAGCTGATACAGTATAAGTGTTTTTTTAACAAGTTCTTCTTGAAGGCATAAGATTGTCTTTTCAGGACTGTCTTATGCACATACATACCAGACATGAAAGTATTCATATTCTAAGAAGAATTATTTGTTTAAAACTTTCATCCTATTTCCATCAAATACATCTGCTTTTGATTGTTCAACTTGCATAACAAATGATCTGTCTTTATGTATTAAAGGTTTTGCTAGATTTGGGGATGTTCTGAATTCTTAGAGATATAGAAGACTCTTAGACTCTAACAGCAAAGAACAGAACTTTTGTTTACAGATCTGCTCTGAAATTAATTATAATGAAGGCTGTTTGAAAAGATTTTGAAACCAGCATCTATAGTCTGCCAGCCTATACTGGTGTGCTTGTATACAGCTGACATCAAAAAGTGAAAAAGTAAGTACTTAGTCGTTTTTATCATTGAGGAAAAATTCATTAAAATAAGAAAATAGTTATTTACTAATTGTTCTGTATATATAACTGGAGTACTGAAGAAAACAACACTTTTACCTTTATTTTGATCAGTTTTGTCAGGACCTGAAGAGAAGACAGAATCTTTTAAAACTACAGGAAGGATGCAGTCTTCAGAAACCTTGGATAACCAATTTGTCTGGAAATTTAGAACAATATCAAAGGAAAATATGCATATTTATTTAAATATGTAAATTTTGGGGGGAAAATAAAATAAACTCAGTTATTTGGATTTAAAAATACTACTTATTTATTCCGTTAAAAATGATTTTTAACTAGGATTTTTATATACAATAGAAAGCAAACTGGTAAAGTACAGTGTTAGTGAGAAAGGAGTGAATGAGCTTACCAGTACCATTGATTGTCAGAGTGAGTCCTCCTGTAACACAATTGAAAAATTGTTTTAAAATCTTACTTCCATCAGAGCACAATGAATTCTGTTTTTTTTTAATTCTGGAAAAATTCACAACCATGTTTTTATGTTGAATTATGAATTGTCTCTTATTTTACATTATTAACACAGAAAGCTTTTTATGTTTAGTTGTAATTACACATACAGTAAATATCTGGAGCTGCCCTAACTGATATCTGGAGTCCTAACTAATTAAAGTCCAGTGTCATTTTGAAGTAAGAGAGTTATCTTACCTTACTATTGATCCTCAGTGTGGTTCCATTGCTGAACACAAGAGCGTCGTTCTGAGCATCATTCTCTCTCCTAGCACAGTAGTACATTCCTGAGTCCTCATGGGAAACGTTATGGATCAACAAGCTGCTGTCTGGTCCAAGTGAATGTCGCGTCCCAAACCCGTTGTAGTAGTTGGCCGCTTGGTATTTGGGTCTCACAGTCTGCAGTATGATGAGTGGGGACTGGTCTGGCTGCTGTCTGTACCAGTAGGTGTGAATCCCTTTGAAAGGACACTGGAGAGTCACAGTCTCCCCAGTGTGAGGAGTTAGTGATAAACAGTTAACAAACAGGCTGCAGAAAAACAAACCTGCAACCAAAATCAAATCATTTCATTTTCAATCTTGTCAAACAAAACTTTTTTTTAATGCCAAAGATTATATTTATACATCTGGAGATGAGGAATGAAATGTAAAAATGGATTTGAGGATTTGCCGTCTTTTAAAAATTGTTCAACACCTAACTCTCTAAACTACTTGTTTTACAAAACCTTCAGTAACACCCTGCTTTTTCCTTCCACAACATCTTCAGGCATTTATCTAATGAGCAGAAATAGCACCGCCTGCTGTGTATGGCAGGTCTCTCTCAGCATCAGAAAACAGCAAAGCCCAATAAAAGATATTCTCCCCATACTCACGTATGGCAAAGACCATTTTTCATCCTCTTGCAGTTTTTCATCTTCTCTGTTTGAATGACGTCTGCTTTCAATGTGTCAAGAGATCACTCCTCTCGATGCTGATCGGTACTGACTCCGCCTGCAGTAGAAACCGCCTTACTCTGAAACCAGCAGAGGAAGTTTAAACACACTGTGTCCGACACTCTTCTGCTCTGGCAGTGAGCACACAGGCTCTGCTCTTGTTCAGATCAGGACATCTCCATTGGAGTTACCCTATATTAAAGCATTTCTCCCACTGACGGACACTCAGATCTGTACGAATGGATCTCCAAGTATAAACAAAAACTTGAAGACTCAAGGTCATCCAGATGCTCAGTTCCTGATACATGCTTGATACATGCATGTATCAGGAACTGAGCATCTGGATGACCTTGAGTCTTCAAGTTTTTGTTTCATTTAAGATCTGTTACATGACTACTGTAATTATTTCATTAACATTCTAATATAACCAGGTGTGAAGATGTTTTATAACAAAAATATAACTGCTTTATAAATATAACTGTTTTATAACTGCACTTTTACTGAATTAGGTTAATTGCTTAGTGGACTACTCAGGTTGAAACAAAAACCACCAGACACCAGGCCCTCAACGAACTGAGCTGATACCTCTGGTATAAATGAATAGTTCTGTTCTGTTGGGTGTGCTTGAAGAATCCTACCAGACCAGGAATCCCTGCCTCTCCCTCATAATCCCCTCTGTTCAAAACTAAAAGGATCCAGATCCTTCAGCCTGTCAGGGTGACACATTCTTCTGAGCCCAGGAGAGGATCTGCTGCTCTTCTCTGGACTGATTCCAGAGCAGCAATGTTATTTCAATTACTTGGCGTCCACAAATTGAACACTATACTGAATGACCCCTAACTGGTGTTTTATACAATATTAATATAACATCCCTTGATTTGAATTGTACATTGTTAACTATATATCATAAGTTTTGGGTTGCCTCTTTAATTGCTTCCCTACATTGTCTATAAGATGTAAGTGATCTCACAGACATTTCTTCCTTCCTCTCGATATGTGATATCTTTATGGTGAGCAGACACATAGTGGAAAGACAAACTATCAGACACTCTCCTACAAAAGAGTTTTATTTTCTTTCAATATGTGACATTCCAGGTAACGCGTCTGTTAGTAGCTGCAATCCCTTCGCATTCAAATAATGATTAAGTGAAGCAGAAAATGTTGCAGATACACAAGTATTTGATCAGATTTTATTGGAACACTTTGACCATGACCTTATGAAATCTGAAACACAAATTCAATCCAGTCCCTGAAACAGGGTCTACATACAGTTTGGATCACTTCTCCTGTCTACACTAAAGGCTGTCTTGAGAAAAGCACAGATACAGAGGTTTGAGAGTCACAGATGAGAGGAGAAAGTGTCATGGTTGATAACTGGGTGTTTAATGTCCACTGTTAAAAACACTCCAGTCATCTCATAAAAGATGAGTCCTCCAGCTGTGTCCTCCTGCTGTGTAGCTCCAGAGTGGCAGCTCTGCTCTACTGTGTCCTGTGCTGATGCTGAGTCCCACAGAGCTCATACACTGCAGTGTCCCTGTGAGAGAGCTCCTGCAACACAGGTCAGAGGTCACTGCTGCTGTCACACAGGGGCTGATAGAGCACTGAGGGAGATGGGCTAATGCACTGATCAATCAATCAATCCGGCAAATAGTTAATAAATCAGGCAATTGAAGGCAGTTGAAGTAGAAATATTACATTGCAGCTGACAGAAAAGTATCACTATATGGCTATATTATAAACATGACATTACATATGAAATAAAGTTACTTTTCTGAAAATCAGTTTTTTAAATTAAACAAGACATGCATTCATTTAAGAGCAAGTTATGTAAATCTAACAAAAACACATGTACAAGATATAAATTTAGAATCAAGGAATCACTGTTTACATCAGTCTAATCATCTACAAGCCCAGACCCAACTCAGCCTGGCAGCCCAGAGACACAAGCAGTATGTGAGGACTGATCCCCTCTGCTCACCTGATAGTGTCCTTCAGCCCCCACAGCCTCTCCGCTCTCCTTTCGCACCCGAGTCTCAGGGTGCTGCTGGAGCTGGGATCTCCCCCCTGTAACAGAGTAGCAGATGAACCCCCATCAGGTCTCCTTCACAGGCTGCCCTCCAGTCTCTCTGCAGGACTGTGACCCCAGGACTGTACCAACTCTCCTCTCACAGAGTGACCCCAGGACTGTACCACCTCAC